TTGTCAAACACTCTCAATAACCACAACTGGACAAATCAACTTATGCTATAAAGAAATGATCTTTTTAGTACGTGCCTTAAATACATAAGTGAAGAAAAATAATCAACATATTTTTTAACTATTAAATTATAAAAAAATTTAATTTTAATAATTCATTAATTAAATTTAAAATAAATTATTTTATTTTTAATAAAATTAATAATTAAAATATATATTAATTATATCCTTACTGTATATACTCAAGGAACATGATTAAAAAGTTCTTAAAAAAATTATTTTCTCCATCTGTTCATCAATCACTCTGTTACAAAAAGCACACAACACACTCGATCCGAATCACCATGCCCCTTAATTTTCGCCATCTAATTCGGCATTTTTTTTCTCCTAGTCTTTCCCTTGATCAATTTTTATTTTTCTATTATTCTTCCAGCTCGACCGTACTACACACTAACGCGTTTGGTTTGACGTATACTGAGTAGGGGGGTGGAAAAAATTTTAGATCAATTAAATTAAAACGTTAGCCGAAAGCAATTTTTTGTATCTTATTACACTCTTCAATGTAATCTTGTACCATAATTTACTTGATTTAAGGGGATAGTGGAAAGCCTGATCTATGTGTCCTTTTTTTTTCTTTTTTTTTTTGACCCAAAAATGAAAAGATTATTGTTGTGTTCACTAAAGGAGTGAAAAGCAATGGATGGAATCATGGTGGAGGGAGCTGGATGCCGGTATCCTCACCTACTTCACTCCACTTTAATCTTTTCACGGTCTAAGTGGGGCAGCATAATTTATGATTTTCTCCACAAATCAAGACCTACTTTAAGCTAACAATGCTGTGATTAAAAAAATAATAAAAAAATAATAATAATGATAAGATGAAAATTTCTGAAGAAATTAGTGCAAAATAATCAAGAAGCATCCCATTCCAAGGGTTGAAAAATGAAAACAGGAACAAGGGTTTTCTCCAAAAGCAAACCCAGATGACTGCAAGATTGCAACCTTTTTTTTTTTTTTTTATTATTATTTTTTTTTTTTTTTTTGGGTTTCTTTTTGTACAAAGGGAAAGCTTCTATGCATTGATTCAAGCAAGGGTGAATTGAGTAAATGAAAATGAAGAGAAAGCCTTCTATACAAATACCCTGATTTGTCCTCAGAAGCAAATGGTGAAAACCAGATGACTTATTCAGAGAGGATTGCAAAACTTATTCAAGAGACCAGAGAGAATCACTAAGATATGGTCTTGGCCCTCCTGGAGGAAATACCGTCATCAAAGTTGAGAGAATAGCTGTGGAAATCATAACTGAACTGCATGGTGCTCCTTTGCCACCCCAAAGCTTCCCTGCACTGCGACTTCACCTTCCAAACTAGCTGCTTCAAGACATATCTTGTGCAGCAACACAAAGATGATTTTCTTCCAGCACTGACTGCGGACGTGCTGTGCGCAACTTTCTTTCCCCACTTCAAGAACTGGATTCTCTTCCAAGTTTGCCTGCTCAGCATTTTCATTGCTCCCTTCTTCTTCTCACTGCGTATCAACCAAAAGGTGAAAAGCTTGTTTATATTCCTAGAAATGGAGAACGATGAGAGATATAGGTCTAAAAGATAACATGAAGACAGAATTATGCTTACAAGCATCACATTCCCACTAGTAGCGGCTATCAGCGTCAATGGCATTAGTTGTCACGTTCTTATTTGTGGAAAATAAGAATCATTATCATCAATAGTCCATCCAACTTTTCCTTTTTCGTCATTTCCTGGTCATACTTTACCGGTCGCAACTTGTAGAAAGAATTAACAAGAAACTGCTAACAAATACCGAATACTGATGCAAAGTATGTAGCTAACAGAGAGTACTACTTGGATCATCTGGCCTTTCTAAAAGTGGTTAGGTTTTATCATTTGTGATTTTCTTTCCATTCTACTAATATAATGAGCTTGCTTTTGCAGCATCTACATGAGAAAGAAAAAAAGCAAAAGATAAGGTCGGCTGACTACACTACATAGTTCACGCCGTCCATACCTAAATGAGTGATCTGATTCCAGTGCAAAAAGTTCAGTGATTAATTATTTAAAGGTATGATAGCATTTCATCTAAGAGGAAAAGTACTCAGAAAGTTGGAAAAGAAAAAAGTAAAAGTAAAAGTGAAACTAAAGGCATCCATGAATGTGAAGAACAGTTTCATACAATGAAAATACAATCTTTATCTCTTCATAACCCAATTTAACATTTCTCTCTTTAATATAGCTGGAATATCACAAAAATATTTATGCAATTGAAATTTGAAGGACTGATATTCAACTTAGGCACCTATTTTTACAATTACAACTTAAAAGCTAATATTGATATATAAGAACTGAGGGTAACAATGCACATAAAATATGATTGGTCATTTGAGCTATAGATGTAAAAATGTAAGCTTTACCAAAGACCAGCATGGTAATGCTAAGCTGTCAAGCACCAGATGATCATTTTAGCTATAGATGTAAAAAAGCAAGTATTACCAAAGGCCATCTTGGTAATGCTAAGTTGTCAAGCACTAGATCATTGCAAATCATTTGAGAACCACAAACATGAAGATTATGTTTGGTTGGAGTAATGGCTATTCCTTTGTCATACCAACCATAAAAATAAGTAAAATTAAGAAACTTACTAGGAAGGTAGGAATTTTCTTCTAGATTAGGGACAAGGAAACCTATTCCTTAAGGGGAGGTGAGAATACCTATCCCTTAATCATCTACTAATTTAGTAGAAAATGATTAATATTATGGATTAGCTATCCCTAGCTTGTTAACATAACCGAAAGACATAAAGGTGCAAAATTCTCTAGGCTAGTACGCCCGGGGATATGTCAAGGAAAACGGTTTCAAGTTTTATGCAAAAATTCCCCCACGCTTCTAAATTTTTAACAAATAGTGGTCAATTATACCATTAGGCATTAAAGATGAGATCTAAAAACATTAAAGGAAAGAAGAAGAAGAAGAAGAAGAAAGAAAAAGGAAGCACTTCACCACAGCTATTGCATTCTTCTGTACATGTTAAACAAATCTGTGTATTCAGTTCTAATATATGGGGATCAGTTGCAGATAGTAGCGTTGAATTGAATTCACTTGAGAACTTCTCGTGAGACCACCACCATATACCAAAAAAGACTCTGTTTCATGCCTTAGTTCCATGCGCAACAATCATTAGAATGGGAAATCATAAGTTTTTACAGAGATGGTTGTGACAAAAATGAAAAAATTGTCTCTATATCATTAAATAAATAGAAATTGTTACCTAAGTCTTCTGCATTTCCATTAAGTTTTAAGCCTGGTGCAACAAAGGAAAGACATGAGTATTAAGTAGCCTAACAGCTCAATAGAATATTGCAGTTATCAGCATACAGAAAGAATTTAAAGTTTCTATGTTCAGCATAACAGGTGATACATGCATAGGACATCACAGATATATAAATAACAACAAACAGGAGAGAATAGAGGAAGATAGAGTGCTGAATATACATACAGTCTTTATGCGCCTTACATGAATATATTGACAACTTTAGCATCTAAAAGCAGAAGAGGAAAAATGGACACTGAAATGGAAACCTGACCTAAAGGATTAACAGTAAGTAAGATTGCTTCATACAACAAAAATTAAGTTGCAGAGCAGATGTCTGACTTTTTCTCCTTTGACTTTGCTCTCTATTTCACTTAAGTAAAATCTGAACAATGGTGACCTGCAATAATGCCAATGATCACCTTCAAGCGAGTCATTCTCACTAGAATTAGAAGTGATTGACTAAGCCAAGTGGTATCTGAACCCTTTATGCAGTGATGCTCAAGAAAACTCAGGAAAATGTAAATCTTACAGTTCAAGGATAATAACAAGGCTATAAATCACACCTGGGCCTTATAGGCCGATTGATAACGGTGTGTATCACCTAACCCTATGGGCTGGATTCAATCCCCCCTCCCCCAAAATTTGACCTTGAAAAAAAAAAAAAAAAAAAGAAAAGAGGCTATAAATCTTAGGGAATCCCACCCCCTTACAAGGACTATTAAAATCTGTAGAAAATATATAATACAAAACAAGGATAAGCACAATTAGAGCACTTGCACACGCATTATGGCTCCCCCTACTAACAGCCATTTGGATTTTAAGACTCAAATTAATTCCTTGTAAAATAAAATAAAATAAACTAAAAAAGGGGAAAACAAACAGACTTGTTTTTAGTCCAATTACATGCTAATGAAGTTGAAGGAGCAAACATTATATGGAAATTTAAAGAAAAGAAACATAAATTCCCAATGTTTGCTCTTGGGCACACAAAAAAAATAGTTCCCACCTTTCCAGAAGCTATAATAGCCAAAAACCAACAAAGTTTATGCTTTATCGCAAATACCAAAATTCTTGAACAATCTTGAACGGGTATTGGGTTTGGGTATCCTAAGGAGCACAAAATAGAATCAATAAAGTAAAATTAATGCAACACTAGGTAACTGACATTTCAAAGGAGAAAGCCCAGTACAAAGGTCGGTGGATGTTATCTGCAACCCAGTGAGCAGCAAGACCAGATGACGGGTTCCCAGATGCCAGAATCAGTAAATCTATAAACCAGCTTTATCAGTTCTTCAAATGATGTATCTGGGGTTTTCTAGAATTGTATTCTCAGTGAAGCTGAATCCCAGATGCGAGAGAAGAGTACAGAGTCATAATTGGCCCAACGGCTGCCGGTGGGGTTCTACAGTTTTCCTTTTTCCCGCCCTAAATTGGGCTTCTAACATGCCAAAATGTTGCAGGGTTTTTCTTTTACTAGTAGTTGGCATGAAATGTATGGCCTTCAACTCTTAATAAAAGTCCATTTTGTAAAGTCAACTTTTTTAACATTTAAAGTGCTTTAAAAAAATTTCTAAGCATTTTGAATGCTAGAAAAAAAAAATTCCCAAAAAAGAAATGGAAAATTCGACCGCACCCCGTCACTATTTTTGTGAATGAAAAACGATTAAGATACAATTTTATTTTATCATATAACTTTTTCATTTAACCTTATTTGTCTTTTTATAATTTATTATTTTTAATATAATAAAATATAGACTCATGCGTATATGCCACTAACCTCCAACCACAACCCCAAATGGCCAAGAAGAAACTGCAAGTTTTTTTTTTTTTTTTTTTTCTTCTGACCAGAGAAACTGCAAGTTAATCTTTCAATAGTTTTAGAGAAGCGTATCCAACATCTAAGTGAAGCCACTCCCAACTTAGGAACAATAAAAATGAAACTAGAGGTATAGACGACGGATGGCCAGACAATTAAAATCAGTGTAATAAGCTCAAACACATTGAGAAACCTAAAATTCACTAAGATATAATTCTACTTTGAAAAATCTAATTATGTCCCGTCAAAAGATGAAATCCTCCCATGGAAAATAACAACACAACGGCAACATCAGAACTACGGGTCACCAAACAAAGCTACAAGAAACTCCTCTCAGACAATAGCATTGGCGGCACTTGCAATTCTTGGCCACAGATCCGCACACTCCTTTCCAATGGGACCGGTAATGGCAGACCCTATAATAAACACATCCAGTAAATCAAAAGTGAGTGACAAAAAACCAAATAAAAGAAGAAACCACCCGTGCAGCCAAGACATCACAATCCAAACCAACAAAACAAAATACATACATTGGATTAAACTATAAGCATTCAAAATCTAGAGTGCAAAAGTGTCATAGGAATTAGAAAGAAAGAATTACGATAAACTGAGCATCACTGCTTAGGAATGTCCATAAGAGATAACCCATTTTAAAATCAATGCATTCATATCACTTCAAATGCCATCAAGTCATCAATGGTTATTCTTTACTGATCACCAAATTGAAACTATTACTATAGGCCAGGACTTCATTCCAAGACAACCTAAAACTATAATCAAACAACATGACAAAAAAGGCTCAGCCTTTTAGTCTAAAAATCAGAAACTGGATATCATAACATGCAGTACCTTTCATTTCTCCTTTGGGATTGACGATAACACCAGCATTATCTGCAGATAGAGCAAAGAGCAAAGCAAGTTTCAGAAAGTCAAGGCTAAAAACATTTGAAAAAGAATAGAAAACATCCATTGCAAGGGACAGAATAACCAATCTGTCTGGTAAATGGGTAATAACAATCATGCAAATTTAGCCATCTAAAACCCTAAACAAACAGAAGTAACTGAAGGAAATATACCAGGAGACAGGTAACATAATGCAATTGAGAACAACAACATCATGCTGTTTAAAACTGGCACACTTCTGTTACTCTATGCTTCTCATTAAGAGTGACCAACAACTAAACCAGCCACCCCATTATCAACGAAGCAACTAACAAAGAAAACCGAAGAAGCAAATTGAATAAGAGCTAGGTGAAAGTAGAAGACCTTCGAAGTACATGTAGACGCCATCCTTTCTGCGCCATGGTTTGCGCTGGCGGACGATGACTGCGGGAAGGACCTTCTTCCTCAGATCGGGCTTCCCCTTCTTCACGGTAGCCATGACCATGTCCCCAACGCAAGCCGAAGGAAGCCTGTTGAGACGCCCCTTGATACCTTTCACCGAAATGATGTAAAGGTTCTTGGCTCCAGTGTTATCAGCGCAGTTCACTGTCGCCGCTACAGGCAGACCCAGAGACATCCTGAACTTGTTACCCGCCGAACCTCCCCTTCCTGTTCAACAACCAAATCAATTCCATTATAGACACTCATCGAATTCCGATTGAATAGTAACTGTTTGGTTCCTCGGAAAGATAAGGAACATGAAGGAAAATCTGAGCAAATCTCACCTCGCTTCGACATTTTCGATCAGCTCCGATCACCTCCTCCCTGTGTCGGCGTCGCTTCTTCTTCAGTACAGAAGACAATACGTTTGTTTATATATGGTCTCTCTCTTCTAGGGTTTTACTGGAGAGGAAGGTTTCCGACTGTTTGGTTACGGAGTTAATCCTTTTCACGGTTAAGAAACGAGATAAAACGCAGCGTTTCACCAATCTATAGGAGTGTTTGGTGACGGAACTTTTATTGCCCTTTTCCCGGTTTAAAAGTGTTCACAGATAAAACGTTGTGTTTCGTTCAAACCGCCAAAATCAGTGTCCCTCCCCTCATGGAAGCGGAAAACTGATAAACAAAGGCAGATGTAGAGCTATGGGGCTGCAACCTGCAGCATTTGTTCCGACCTCCAATGGTCGAAGGATGCTACCATTGCCAAAAACGACCACCAAATTCGCATGTCACGTCATCTCCGATAACAACAGCGACAGAAATTTCAGCAGTAATCTAATGTTCTGTTTCAAATGATGAAAGAAGTGACTCTGTAAAAATTTCCGAAGGCTTTCAGCTGTACATCCTAAAAACAACCGTGCCAATATTATTGTATAACCATCCTTGGAAATGTGGTGCAGATATTAGCCCCAGTTCTTAAAATAGTTGCTTGAGCTTGGCCATTCACTCTAGTAGTCTGTCAGTTAACAGAAACATAGTCAAATAAAAGAATGATATTTGCAATCATTGTAGACTTTGATCCTGCAGCATAAGAACAGGTAAGAAGTAACACCAAAAACCCTCCATTAAAGAGCAAACCAATTCAAACAATTAACAGCTGAATGAAAAATCATGACAAATTTTTCTAAAGTGATTTATACAAGCTGTTTTGTCACTAAAGATGAAATAAAATGTTCCCAGTGCAAATATTTCCCTTATTGGGACATTGTTTGGTGCCCTTCATTTGAGGAATTAGTCACCAATTCCAAGAAGCACTCACACATATCTTGCATCAGTTTCGTGACTGAAAAGTTTGGGTCGATAATTGTATATAATCTTAGACGTTTCTCCATCAATTCTATTAGTTCAACTGGACTATGGACATGGAAATTTGGGCTTCCAAGAGCAAAGTTGCAGCTAAGATAAATCTTCACCTCTCCCAAGGTTGAGGAAGCGATTTCTATGCAGTGAGGGAACTCAGCAGCAACGGAGGAAAGCACAGAGTTGGTTTTCCTCTCCTTGGACAAAGTGGGAACACAATCACATACACGTCCATCTGCCTGCAGGGATACTGGAGGTTCCTGAAGATCTGATCTTCCGCTTGAACCATTATTTGCTGCAGCAGAATCCCCTTCACTCATGAATCTAAAAGGCAAACAGAAAGAAACACAACAAAAGGAACATTGTTAATTTTAAAATTCAACAGTGTTGGCTAAGGAGCATCATCTATAATTTTTATAATAGCACAGACATCTCGAGTGGTAGTTCAAAAAAGTTTCTGTGCATGTTCTTTCTCCCTACAATGGAACCATAAATTACAGCTCATGATCAAACATAATCAAAAAAATAACTTCCAACAATTGATGCATATATCTTAATTAACAACTTAACTGCTTAAGTAGTTTCCATATATTTCTTCTTAGATGGCAATGCTACCAATATCCTTAGTCATAAAGACTTCAAAATATACACTAACAAGCTGCATTTAGAAGTGTAAAGCCTCACAAGTTAAACTAGATGATAAACAATCAGGACCCAAGTGGATGAATTGAACTATTACCTGGATGAATAACTGCCATAGAACCCTCAAACTGTGGAATGTCACAAGTAAAAGGCCCCTCTTTGGGGATGATCAACGCATCAGGGACACTTCCCTTAGGCAAAATACCTGGCTCAGATGCTGGATTTTTAGGGCTCAATGCATTAGATGCTCTCGTAGGAATGAGAGCTCTCTCACCTGAAGCTACATGAGATGAAATTGGCTCCTTCCCTTTGTTTCTGACATGCATATGAGAAGAAAGTGAATTTGATTCATCTCTCTGTAAGAGAAGGCTGAACTGGTTCAGATATTCCCAACAGCCCAGGCCTAGGTGACACAGATTGCTTGTTTATGTTTGAATCAGTAACAGGATCATTTGATGAGGCAGGCGTAGGTGAGATAGGACAAGGTGAAGTAGGCTGGCCTTCAATCCTTGCATTTCTAAGATTGTACTGAGATGGCTTTTGGTTCTTTTGTGATCGCTGCAGCAAAGGAGGGGAAGGAAGTTCTTCCTGCTCCTCTTTAGGCCTCTTTACCAAAGCTCCATCCAACCCAATCTCGCAGTTGCTGGGACGAGATGAAGCTTCACCTTCCTGGCTTCTCAAACGAATCCGTTTTTAAGGGCGTTCAACATGCATTGAATCATCTTGATCAAATTCTTCTTCCTGATATTTGTAAAAGAGGAAAGGAATGTCATTTGATATAGCTAGAAGATTATAAAAGGAACAAGAATATGCAGTATCAATACAAGCAGAAGCATAAGTGATCTACATCTGCTTTGTTGCATTTCTTTTGATCTGACTCTGAGACCTGGTCAACAATAGAAAGTAAACATCACGAGATGTGTAAAGAAGAAAAAAATGAACAGAGCACATGAAAAAAACTAGGTCATAACAGATCAGATTAAAATAGATATACCTCAGTATCTTCCTCTTCAAAGATGGCATCAGCAAGAGCTCTATAATTTTCAGCCTCTATGAGCTCCCAATTCCTTTCATATAGCCCCAGAAGTTTCTTCAAAACTGGTTTCACTTTTTTCTCACTAATTCCAATATATCTCATTGCATGGTAGGCCTGCGCAACTTTAGCATTGAGTTTCATAATGCTTACAGGCTATTTGTGGTTCAGGCTTGCAAAAATAAATGTTCCTAGAATGAACATTCACATGTTAAAATAGGATTCGAGAGTCTTGGAAGTCCATGCACATATATTTCAAGAATATGTAGGAAGCTCATAGCAAAAGTCACAGTTCAGAACCTGCATCACCTATCATGCCTTCTAAAGCATATGGAAATTTACTAATTTAGAAAGTAAGCACCTGCCTTACCCATCATGCCTTCTAGAGCATATGGAGATGTGGACTAGAATCTAGCATTGCGATTAAGTGTGACACTTATGTCATTCTATTATCCAATTCTCAAAAACACCATGTCTTGGAACAACAGATGTTGTGATTCTCAGAGAAAACCCTTCAATGTCAAATGAAGGGTACTGACAAAAATGGAAGAATAAAATGGAAATCACACCCGTTAGGATTACAATTGGTTACAAAATAATCCCCCCAAAAAAAAAAAACTTTCCCAGAATTTCTCAAAACAAATTACATGGTTTACTCACAAGAACAGAAAAAGAAAAAAAAAATCTAAAAAATGAAAACTTGAGCTAAGATCTTGAACACAATTCCAAACAACGAAAAATATCAATAATTTATGTAATTAACATGGCATTGAAGGGTATAAACTACTTCAAAAAGACATACTTCTTTCCATAAATATTAAATAACCCTCAAAGTTACTCACAAACTTTGGTTGGATAAAAAAAAACACACACATATAAAGAAATGAGCACCAATGTCGTAAAGTGCTACAGTGACTCGAGTCATGTATTTCCGAAGAAATTATATTTCCCACATTACATTTTCTTGACGGCCAAACAAAAGCTGAACACAGAAATCGATTAAAAAACAAGTGTAATGGTCGAGAGCACAACAGTACTGCACTGAGACGCTAAAGTGGAGAAAAACAGCGAGAACTAAGAACAATTCCGCAGATGTTGGAAAGCGAAGCGTTCCGAGTCCCGATCAGCGGAAACAAAGGCAGCATTTGGGGTTGTAGCGAGAACAAGAAGGGAAAAAAATCAAAACATTTGAAGGGAAAAATTACTTACAGGAATTAGAGGCGACGTTTGGGAAAACCAGACGGGGAAACGGAAATACGGTGCGCCTTCTGGTTCTTATTTAATCACTAGGCCAACACTTTATTAGTTTAATTATGAAATATTTAATTTTATTTTATTTTATTTTAACAAAGGAAAATATATTAATTAACAGATTGTTTTGAGTTAAAAGAATTTTAATTCTTTTAAAATAAAATTTATATTCGAGCATGGAAGAAATTTTTTAATGAAATTGTACCCAATTTAATTTTAAATTAATTAAATTTAATGAGGCTTTTAAATATTAAAATATTAAAAATTAGTAAAAAAATAAAAAAATTAAGAAATGGGGAATATATTTAAAAAAACAACTATTTTATTATCCTATTACTATCTTTTTATTAACTGTTTCTCTTAAAATATCTCTAAAGTAATTTAGTTTCTATGTTCAAAAAAAAAAGTAATTTAGTTTCTTTCTAAACAATTTTAAAATAACACTTTACTTTGAGTTGATGTACATAAAAAAAATTTTTTACGGACAATATTACCTGTTACTGGATTTGGTACCATAATAATATACTGTTACAGTAAATATGCTATACAAATAACTAAAACTCTATTTAATATAACTATAATTTTTAATTTTTATATATTTAATAATTAAAATTATAATTAAATTTAAATTTTTTTAATAAGTTTTATTTTTTAAAATATAATAATAATTGTTTAATATATGTCAAATAAAAATTCAGAACTAAAAATCAAAACCATACTGAAAAAAAAGGAAACCAAATTAAAACTAATTAGAAATATCCAAACATCTCAGTAAATATTTAAATTTGCTCCTCGGCACACCCAAAAAATTATATACTCGCAGCTAATTGAACGATGTCGTTTGGCGGCAAAGCCGATTCCACCGTTTCAATTTTTTCCCGCCAATCTTTATCTGCCTGCTTCTTCTGCCGTCCAATTTGTGTACTATCAGAACCCCTCACCGGCGACCAGTTGATTTTAGATGCCCTTCCCCTCACACTCTTATCAGCTTCAAATTGTTGTTGGGTTTTCTGATCTCAATTTATGGCGTATGTGAATGTGAATCTACTAGTCTTACTGAAGTTATCCACCCCTTTGCAGACAGCTTTGATAAGTAGGTTGATATAAATCATTGACTGATGCAAACTAACCATGTGAATGGCAAGCGTTATAAAATCACATAAATCAAATGAAAGGGATAAAGGTTGGCAAGGAAAAAGAGAAAAAGTGGATTGGGGCTGGAACTTAGACACCAAACAACATCCTTTAATTAGATAGACATACATACATCAAAAATTTATGTGCAATTTGAACCATATTGAATTGCACAATACTTACTGTTAAATATAATGAGTCTCGTAATATTGGAGATTATTATATCCCCATCTATTAACCCTTATTTTGCAAATTCAATACAATTTGAACTGCAAAATAAAGAACTCTACATATATATCAATCCAAAAATTACGTCATACACATATATACCCGCCGTAGATACAGATATATGTTACATATCGTACTGTTAATCAAAACGACTCGCCTCTGGTGTGTAAGCCAAGGTGTGACTGGAGGAGACGCATCTGTTCCTCCATGTTCAGTCGGAACTGCTCGTTTTTCTGTTGTTCTGCTTCATACCTCTGCTTCTCCTCCGCCCACCTCTGGCTCTTCTCATGGAGCTCACTTTGGAGATGCTCCACAATCTGTCGGAGTTCCAGTACTTGTTCCTGAGATGGCCCTGTACTGCTCCAGCTCCTGGGATCAGAAAATGGAGGTTGTCGTTTGCGGTAAGGGATTCCCACCGACTCAGGATCCTGCATAACTCGCAGCCCAAACTGGTGCCCTTTTTTAGGTCCTCCAGATACCTCGGCCAAGAGTGGGCCGTCAACTTCACGAGGCCACTTAGTCCTGTCAGACCCATATTTCTCAATCATTCCTGCCTCATATTGTACCTGTATAGCAAGTTAAAACAATTACATTTCAGTTCTCATTCACAAATTAAGCACACAAAAATCATTATCATGAATGAATGAAACATGTAACACGCGCATTGTGTCTAAATATTTATATATCTTCTAGTTAATCTAAGACCATATAGAAACCACAAAAACGCAGTATGCAGCATATATTCAATTGTCAAGCATGAAGTCACAAATTTAATCAGCAAGTCAATTCCTGCAGCTCATAAGAGGTCAACATAATAACATTATAAACTCACATAAATATCTCGTGCTCGGTCGGAGACCCACTCACAATCTGCTTCGCTGGTCTGACCAGGCCTAGTATGTTTGGCATGGTAGATCTCCATCCAAGTGGGGGGCTGATTTTCTGGATTCTTCTCTTGCTGCCAGATCAAATAGAAAAGGATGTTAGTAAACTCAAACATTAAAGGTGAATTTAAGAGAATTATATTATAATATCAAATTAATAAATAGAAGCAAAGGAAAACCAGCTTCCTCATGAATGACTGGATCCCACGTGAACCACCCGTGTGGGTGACCTGTGGGCCTTTGGCTCGGTTCTGCTTCCCTATGTTTGAAGCCTTTACGTGCTTATCAGTTCCCCATTGAGTGAGAAGTTGAGACCAGAGGTCGTCATTCAACCACAATGGCTTTTCTTGAAAATTTTTCTTAGCACACTTTGTCTTGAGCTCATTCATTGCTCTCCTGAAGCGGTAATTGCACAACTTCTCCCATGCAATTTTAATACGTGCCTCCTGTTGATCCTCCCACTGGTATACACTCTGCAAAACATAAAGATAGATAGTTTCAGAACTTAAAACAACAATTTAAAATAAAAGCTAAATTATTGAAACTTGAAAGTGCTTACCGTGAACGTTGCCCAATAAATAGCTCGGTGATTTTGGGGGACTGTGCCCCAAGAGGTGTATGGACCCATTAGGTATTTCTTCAGATGCGTGCTGATGGTCCGGTTGACATTCTCCGGAAGCTCCTCCTGATCCGTCATGCGGATCCATATACGGTTTGTGCGATTTGTAGCAACTGGGTCGCCCTTTGCCATTCCACGACCCGCTCTCTTTCTAGGCAGTGAAGATGCAATACCGTCATCATCTGAGGAAGGCCCGACTGCTGGACTCTCGTCAGCTGCCAGCTCCGGAGTGGCAACTGATGAATCAGAGGTGCAGGGTGTGGCCAGTCGTTCCAGCCTCAATCTAGACTGGCACGGCTCAGCAGTATCAGTAGAGCCAGAGTTTGTGCACCAACCAGTCACTGCAACAGGAAAAAATACACAAATGATTAGTAAATAATATCACATGGAGGGTAGTTAAAATAAACACTACAAACAATCTGAAAATGTGAAGAAAATAAAAAAGATTACACCCCCTTTTTAGTCTTTCAAATTTAGTAGCACCCTACCATTTGGCTGTGGTGTTGGAGCAGACTCGTCATCTGAATCCTGATCTGTCTCCTCCACATGGATATACAAACCATGTGAGGGGTCTGCTGGGGCCTCCTCTGTCATGGTAGTAGATTCGTCAAGAGGGTCCTCTACCTGTCGTGGTCGTTTCTGACCCACTCTTGATGTCATGGTATGGGCCTCCCCTGTCATTAGATATCTATAAATATCTGTTTAAAAAATATATATATTCAAGAAATACAAACTGCACTTTCACATTATAGATAACCAATACTTATTTCACATGTAACGCTGGCCAAACAGTGAATTGACCTATTACCTGGATGGATAACTGCAAGAGGAACCGCATATCGTGGGATGTCATCAATAAAAGGGACATCTTCCTGCAATTACAAAAGACAGAGCAGAGACATAACAGGCATGTCATTTGATACCCCTTGAAGACTGTTAAAAGGAGCAAGAATATGCCGTATCAATGTAACTGTGTAACCAAGAGCATAACTGGGACATACATCTGAACTGTTGCAGTTCTTCTGATTTGACACCTGGTAAAGTAAGCAATAAACATCAAGGCAAGAAGAAAGAAGAAGAAAATATGAACATAGCACACAAAAACTAAGCCACAACAGATAAGGTTGAGACATACGTTATATACCTCAGTATCTTCCTCATCAAAGATAGCATCAGCAAGAACTCTATAATTTTCCTCCTCTATAAGCTCCCAACTGTTTTCATACAGCTCCAGAAGTTTCTCCAAAACTGGCTTCACTTTTTCCTCATTAATTCCAATCTCTCTCATTGCGGCATAGGCCTGGGCAACTTTGGCATTTGATGCCATTGTGCATATCAGCAATTTAGTGCACACCTACAAAAATAAATGCACCTAGAATAACATTCTAAAATTAAACTAGGATTTAATAGTCTTGGAAGCAGCAAAGTCCATGCAAATACTTTCAAGAATAAGTATAAAGTTAAAACCATCACTAGCAAAATCACAGTTCATAACATCAAATGGGAAATTAAGAAGGTAAGCACCTAGACTACCTAATTAGATAGTAAATTATAGTGAAAGCACTTTTTTAAAGATGCAGCTCTACCTATCAAGGGTTCTAAAACATATGGAGATGTAGATTAGCATCAAGCACGGTAACCAAGTGCCACGCTTATGCTGTTCAATTACTCAACCCCCAAAGAAAACGTGTTGAGGAATAACATATTAACAAATTTTGCAATTCTCGGAGAATCATTGTCCTTCTAATCTTATATTTGTTCTTAAGGATTTCACTGTCATATATAGACCATATTTCCACACTTGTATCTACGAATCCCTTATTGTGCTGCTCGTCTAATGAAGATAAGAGCACCAATGAAAACACAAAAACAAAATAGGAATTACCCCAATTGTGATTAGGACAGGTTACGTAATAAAAACATGACCTTTCCGAAATTTCTCACAATAAATTGCACAGCTTAACTCAACCAGAACTGAAATAATTAATTATTAAAAATCAAAAGTTGAAGTAAGATCTTTAATGAAATTCCAAAACATAAAGAGTATCAGCATGTATTTCATTAATTTACAATTCAAGTAATTAACAGGGCAGATAATTTTCCATAATTACTTCCAATAAATAAACCTCAAGCCTTTTAAATAGAACGCCACAAAAGAACCCAGTTAAACATTTTATCTTAGAAGCTAACAAATCTTGAAAATTTCCCATAAAAGTTGTAGAAAAATAGTATATATGAGTGACAAAGTCTTAGAGTAAGCAGTATTACACTGAATTTAGTCCGTTTCTGATGAGATTATATTTCCCATTACATTTTCTCGGCAGCCAAACAGAACCTGAAGCAAGAAATCAACTCAAAATTCAAAAAAAAAAAAAGAAAAAGGAGAGATAAGAACAGTACAGCAAATGTTAGAAACCCAAGCGTTTCGAATTCCGATCAGTGGAAACAAAATCAGCACTTAGTGTTTTAGCGAGAAGAAGAAGGAGAGTCTCATAGATTTTGAGCCGGAAAAGAAACTTACAAGCTTGAATTTCGAGGTTTGGAGGGACCAAAGGGCGGGAGGAGAAAAAAGGCCCTTCCTAAGTTAACGAGCGGGATTCTGGAGAAAAATGGCGGTCGTCTTTCCCTCCTTTTTAATTGACCGATTGGCCGGGTCGGGTTATATCCTGCAGGAAAATTTTTTATTTTCCGTTTGGTTTACATAAAACCACTTTCAGAAAATATTTTCTGTATTTCTCAGTATTTGATATCTCTTTAACAAAATAGGATAATGGAAATTAAGCTAAGTCAACGGAAAGTGCAATAGTTAACTTATAGAATGTTTGAATTGAAAGGAATAGAGAGGAGGAGAATGAAAAAAAAATCTTTATTTGATTATCAAAATAATCAAAAGGGAGGGGAGCAAAGGAAAAATAATTTATTTTTTTTTTAATTTAATTACTTATTTAAGTGAGATGAAGGGAACCAAGAAAAATAAAGGGATACAATTTTCTTCTTTCAATTTCTCTCAACTTAAATATAAAGTTAGAGTTTCAAACTCTTAATTAATTAAGACACTCTCTTAAAGATATTTTTTTAGTAAGAAAATGTATCACTATTTTTAACATCTTATAACATTTTATGAGTTCATCATTTTGTAGTTTGAACCATTTATTTGATTATGAGGTTGTCCTCATAATTAGAGCTTCTTCTAATCTAATTGTTAGAATTTTATACTTTGAAATACAAAACACTTTTTTTACATTTTATGAAGGGGTTGAGCCATTTTTTGGGAAAAAATGGTTTGAACTTTATAGAGATATAAACCTTATATAAATTATTACTATGTTGATCTTTCAATTTAACAATTAAAGTTCTATTTAGATTATCTGTTTAAATGTAACAATAGTTGATTATTACCTATAATCAAAGCACTCTTGTTAGTTGTATTAGAGATCAACAATTAAAACAAACAAAGAAATAAGATGATTATATATATATATGTAACGACTAGGGATTGATTATATATATATGTATGTAAAGACTAGGAATTGAATTTTAAACTTGTTATTAAAAGTATAAGTAATTCTATTATCAAGCCATATAGTTAATGGTACAAGGTAATAAGATGATTTTTTTAAATATATCATCATTTTATAATTTAGATTAGTACCAAATAAAAAGATACTACATTCTTTTTTTTTAGTTATCTTAATTTAACTTTCCATATAATTTGATTTACCATATTTTTTTGTTTAACTTCTTTATATTTTCTTTAAATCAAATATCCTTTTAATGTTGTTATGTACTTATAATAAGCAAAATTGTAAAAAAAAAAGGGATGTGTATAAAGAAATTTTTTTATTGATATTCATCTATTATATAAACTTATGAAGTTAAACTCCATATAAAAGTTATATTATAATAATATGTTTGATTTGAAGAAAATAGAAAAGAGAGAAAAGGAAAATTTTTTAGCAAATCAAATTATAATATTTAAAAACATTATAATTTAATTAGTAAAAAAATTCTTTACTCCTCTCCCCTTTTCTTTATTCCCCTCAAATCAAATGTAGAATAACTTCAATAAAAAAAAATTCAAACTATAACCATTTATAAAAGATTGAAGGGAGTAAATAACTTTAAGTACTTTGTTCTTTTATTCTTTAGAAATTTTAATTGAATCATTCATTTCCAAATAGTTTGTCAATGAAAGTAAAAAATAATATTTTGTTTTAATCAAAATGATATTAAACTACAAAATAATAATAATTGAATTAGAAAAGAATCTCAAATATTAAGAACTCATCTCTTATCTAATAATTTTTATTATACAATCTAGTACAATTTAAATTACATAATAACTTTTCAAGAAAAAAAAAGTTTCTAAATGGATTCAAAAATAAATTTTCCTGTCATCATACACAAAACATACTTTTTATGTTGCTTCTTCCTTCTCGGTTTCTAATTTGCAAAATATTGTGAAAAAGAAAAGAAAAGAAAATAAAATAAATCTTACAAGCTTTAACGTCGTCGTTTGGAGGAACCATAAGGCGGGAAGTGAGCGTCCTTTTTTTTTTCTGAAAAAAAAAAAGCGGGATTCCCTTCTTTCTAATTGCACGCCGGGTCGGGTTATATCCGGATTCCGGATGGAAAACTTTTTATTTTTAGGAAACTGTACTGTTTTATTATATTTTAATTTAAAAAAATTATTGTATAGTTTTGATTGTATAAATTACATAATAAGAACTCTTATAGGAAGAAGAACTCCTTAGTATTAAAGGCATATTGACATTTAAAAAATTTTATTTTACTATCTACTATAATTTGAATTACAAAATATGAAAATTTAAAATGAAACTTTAAAACAAAAGATGAAGCATGAATTGAATAATTAAATTAATTGATATATATAATATTACATATTTTTAAAATAAAAAAAAATAATTATAAAATAATATAAAATTTATTTTTTAACATTTTAAATAATATAATTTATATCATATCATTAATTTTATATTTTAATCTCATTTGTTATTTTTCTTTTATTTTTACAACAATTTAAAGAGATTCATTTCGCGTGTTAAGTTTTACAAGTCAGCAATTTTTTCCCAAATTTTGTCAACGCACTTGTTTTTATGGCCATATATTGACTATTGCTACAAAAATGGTGTCTCTTTTTTTTCTTTTTTCTTTTTTTTTTTTTCTTTTTCAGTCTGGAGGCTATAAAATATTTAAATACCTTTATTTAATAGGATTTCATTATAAATATTTGATAAAATTATTCTTTAGTAGTTTAATTAGAATTTCCTTTTAAATTAAGTAGAATTTTAATTTTGTGTCTTATATAAGTAAAAAAAATATTGATCAAATTTATTATGAGTGTATTAAATCATTTAAAAAGTCTATATTGTCAATTACACAAATATACGCTTAAACTTAAATTTTTATAAATCAAATAAATCGTATTTTAATTTTTGAGTTAATTTTTTATTACATTAATATCTAGTTACTATTTTTTTTTTCATGATTACAAAGGGATGGATGCACCAAAATCCATTTTTTGCTACCGTCATTTTGACAACAAACCCTTCATGGATTGTGCCATCAATGTACAAAACTGGACAACAACCCGAACGAATTCTCACAAAGCAACTGTTAAAATAGGAATTTTTTAATTAATAAAAATTTAGGTTTAAGCACATATATATATATATGTAAAAGATAGTATAGACTTTTTTAAAATGATTTAATACATTTATCATAAATTTAATTTATATTTTTTCACTTATATAAAATATAAAATTGAGTTCTCACTTAATTTAAAATAAAATTCTAATATATTAATATCTACTTGTCTCAATATTTAAATTCAATATCTTTATTTTAAAATTTTAAATTTTTAACTACTAAAGATATACCTTTGAGGAGAAGCTTTGTTTGAGGATGCTTAATATAAAATGACTTCTCCTATAAAAATATAATTTTTTATTTTTAATTAATTTCAATTAACTTTTATATTTTTATTTATTTTTATTAATATTTTATATATTTTTTAGATAATAAAAAATTTAAAAAACCTTACAATTACAACACAATACTAGCAAACAAAATTTAAATTAGATTACACATAAAAACATCAGCTTGAAATTTTTTAAAAAATCCAAAATTTCATTAATAAGTCTATATAAATCACTTTTTTAACGAAGTTTATTTTTTTCTTCTTTGATGTTTTTAAATGCAGAAAAGTAGAAAGAGATTAACAAGGGTTTGTGAAAGAACTGGTAACTAAACAAAATCCGGATACTCATTATTTTGAAAAAAAGAAAAATCCATAAAGAAGATGAATTTTCCCTTGGAATTGCACGAAACCGAAACAAATTCTTAAATGAGTACATAAACCACCGACAGAGAAAACTTCATACTCATAGGAAGCGACAAAAAAAGAAAAAAAAACCATTTAAAAGTAGCTGTCCAGATTACCCAAAGTCAAAAACGGCTTTTATATGTTCAATGTCAACAAAATAACAAAACAAACAGATGTTGTATAATTTCAACGGCACTAAGTTCTCAAATAAAAATACCATAATTATAAATTTATGATAAAATATGTTATTGTATAATTAATTTTTTATTTAAAGATTTATTATAATATTATATTTATTTAATGATACATCATATTATAGATTCATAATTTTATATAATATTATAAATATAATATTATTAGCTATCAAATTTTAAAAGGGATTATTTTGTTTTTTGAAAAAAAAAAAAAAGGGACGAGGACCACACCTACAATTAGAGGGGCCTTATCCTCATCATCTAATAAATGATAATTAGTGCAAAACAGACACACACACACTTTTATTTCAAAAATTCAACAAATTTTTAGAATTGCCAAAAAAAGGCACAGGAGAAGCACTGCAACACTTAACACTGCTCATTACCAAAGACCCCAAGCCCATCCTGGGCATCACCTTTCTTCACCTCTTTCTTCAGAAAATTGAGAAACAGAAACTGTATGTGGTTTACAGACAGTTTTCCCCTAACACCCATTTTCTTGTCGCGTCATGTCAAGTGAAAAAGATTTCTAATTTTTTCAGTCAAACCATAACTGTAAGCTATTCGGTCAAAATTGGCAATGTTTTCAGCAGAATCAAATCTCACCATATACAATAGTCGTTTTCCAAGTACCACATCAATCCATCATTCCCTCAATATATATATTTTTTAATCTGAAAGCTAAATTTAAATAAAGGTTAAATGCCCATTTGGTTTCTCAACTTTCAGTTTTGAATCAAGTTCATCTCTAAACTTCAAAATTTTCCAAAATCATCCTCAAACTTTATTTTTCCGGCGCCCGCTTCATCTTTCCGTCCATGGAATTGCTAGTTGTGACGTTAACTTGCCACGAATTAGCACATTTTAAATTTAAATAATGACATGGAAAATAAAACGCACATGTATTGATGACATGAATCTTATATCAGCGTCCAGGTTGGACAATAATCCTAGTTGACTCATTCTTAATTTAATTAAATATTTAATATTTATTAAATAGGATTATTTTGATATTAAATGTTTAATAAATTTAAGAGATCTTTTAATATTTTATGATAAAAATTTACAAAACTAAATTTTTTTCCAAACTTAATTTATTTAATTTAAAATGTAATTAATTTTAAAACTAAATTAAAAAATAGTTTCATACAAATATATAAAGCAGAAAAATAACTACTATGTATAAAAATGGATCAAGAAGAATAAAACTGAAAAAATTTTCATACAAATGGAAAAAGATATAAATTTATTTTCTTAATTTTAGGTTGCACAATGTAAAAAAAAAAATTAAGTAAAATATATTCACAAAATAAATAAAAACTTTACAAAAATTGTAACAGTTGTCTTTGCTCCATTTACAACTTTTAGCTATCAAAATACCTTCAAATGTCAAAATATTTATAAAATTAATGTAAAATCAAACTCACTTTTTGAGAGACAAAGGAATAGAAAAGAAAGAAAAAAAGATGGTGGAGTAGATTTCACCTTCTTTATATACTTAAGATTAAATAAACTAGCATCATCAAACCTGCTTGCGAGTCATTGAGATGTATTTATTTATTTATTTAAATATTATTATTAAAAATAGATAATAACATAATAAAAGAGTGAGTAACAACTTGTATTATAAAAAACTAAATAAAAAATTATATTATTTTAATAAAATCTCATTAAAAATAACTAAAATATCTCATTTTAAAAATAAAAATTAGGTTGTTTTAGTCTTTTTTTATAATATTTTATTAAAATAATGTAATTTTAGGGTATTTTTCTTTCTATTTTTTTACAATACAAACTTGTACCCATTAATCTTATAACAGAAATATATAGAAAAATGTGATATTAAATAATTAGTTTATGAATATTTTAATAAGTTTAAGAGATCTTTTATAATACTTTGATAAAATTTATAAAACTAAAATTGTTCTACCAAACTTAACTCATTTAGTTTAAAATGTAGTTAATTTTAAGATTAAATTAAAAAAATATTTTCACACAAATATATAAAGTAAAAAAAAAATAACAACTACATAAATAACCTAAAAAAATGAAGACAAGAAAAAAATTCATACAAATAGAATTGTTTAAAAGACAAAAAAAGAATAACTTTCTACGCACATAAAAAAAATATAAAATCTACAATAATTACAAAAGATATCTCATCACATAAAGACACAGAACAAAACTTTTTAAATGCAAATACAAAATAAATAAAAAGTTTTTAAAAAATTGCACCAATTACTATTAACTCAACCAAAAGCCCTTCAACCCAAAATAATTTACAAAATTACCACAAGTCAATTATATTTTTATTAAGGAGAGAGATAGGGAGAAGGTAGACTCTACCCTCCTCATTACTCTTTAGATTTAGATACCATCATTTTCTGCCCCCATTGTGCAAGGTGTTTATAATATATTGAGTTTTCAAAAGAAGAAATATGAGAAGTATTGTATTTCTATATTATAATAATGTGTACAAAATTTTCGTTTGTTCATATCAAATTCCCTTATAATTTGCACAAAATAAGTATTGATTGATTTTTATTAATGTGAAAGTAACTCTTCAATATTCATAACTACTTAAATTCACTTCATCTACCTTCTTTTTTTTTTTTTTTCAACTTCCTGTATTGCCTAATTTTTAACATGCATGGTATATTTTTAAAGCCAAGTTTATCAATAATATTATATACTTGATTCTTTATAATATAAGAGATAGTTAAGGTCTTATAAAATTTAAAATTAAATTAAAGTGAATAGTTTTTAAAATTAAAATAAAAAATACCATCCTATTAGGATACAATATATTTTAATTTTCAATTATCAAGATGTCATAAAAAATTTAAGTTTATTTGCTCAAATTTTTAACTACTTAAAAGTTTTTAATTGAAGGACTTAAAAGTTACAATGTTAAAAGTTTAAAGGTTTAATCATTAATTTAACCTCATTAATTTCTATGTGTTTTATCTTTTAGTAGTGTTTACCATATTTCATGAAATTACTAAAAAACCATAATTTTAATCTACCAAAATGCTCTTGAACCCCAATCAATTTACAAAATTACCCCTACTCTTTTACTTCTTGGAGGGATAAAGGAACAAAGAAGAGAGACAAAAGAAGAGAAAATGTCAACCCTACCCTCTTATACAATTTTAAATATTGAGTAGAAGGCTAGTTACGTAATTTCCCTCTACTTAAATTTATTAACCAATAAAAGTTATTAATTTAGGCTCATTTATAATTATTTTTAAGTTAAATAAAGATTGTTTTTAACTTAAATTTGTCTAGATATCCAAAAAGCATTATCTATTGAAAAATAATTTCGCTTTAACTTTTTTATATCACTTTTGATACAATCTTACAATTTTATTTAGATGATTGATTTTTTTTATTCGTGGTTAATAAAAAATAATTAATTTTTTAATTTAAAAGCCATAATATTAAGTACATTTATTTATATAATAATATATAAAAGTTACAAAAAAAATTATATAAAAAAAATTTCTCCACATCCCTACCCTTGCCTATTTGACCTAAGAGCAGTGCTAGGGGCACTCGCCTCTTGCACTCTCCAGCCAACACTTTCCCTTTCATTGGGCCACGTAAGCTTGTGTTGGTTTAGAGTGCAAACCTCTTGCGAACCAAAATAACGTGGCCAAATAAAAGTGAAAGTGTTTGCCGGAGAGTGCAGGAGGCGAGTGCCCCTAGCATTGCTCTTTGGCCTAAAAAGGCATGTCATCAATAGAATTTCCATGTAATTTTTTAAATTTTAAAATGTGGAATTCGTGGGACGTGGCAAGTTAACGTGCCCCTGGCACTTCCCCAAATGAATTATGAAAGGACCAACTTGGAACGGAAAAGTAAACTTTAGGGATGATTTTGACAATTTTGAAGTTCAAGGACGAGCATGATCTAAAATACAAAGTTGAGAGACCAAATTTGGTTGAATAAACCAATCTCAATCACAATAATTATTGATCATCTTCTTTCTTTTTCTTTTTTTTTTTGAATAATTGTTCATGGCGCAGGTCGAACCCACGCTAGGGGAGGGAGATGCATCTTTCATTGTCGCAGTTGCCACTAGGCCCAAAGGCTAGGTGCAATTATTGGTCATCTTCTAGCAATTAAGCACAATTAAATTAGTATAAAAAGAGAGAAAAAAAAAGTAGTTAAAGAAAAATAATTTCGAGTATAAGCTTATTTCATAATAATCTTGTAGAGAAATATATGAAAATTATAAATTCACTCAATTGATGTGGGATTTCTTTGGTAAATAAGATTGTGTCTCAAATTCTTTTTGTAGTTACTTATGCAGGGCCTTTTCATATGCTACTAAGATGGTTTTTTTTTTTTTCTTGGATCAAAATCAAAGAACTAAAA